TGGAGATGGGACGTGTGTTAAATTAGGGCGATTAGGTTACACAGATCCGCCGGCGTTATCATCCTCCCCATAGTTAGAGTTTGACTTTTGTGTTTACCTTGTAATCTGTCTCACCGGCGCAAGACTGACAAATAAAGTACTCCATGTCACATTCTACAATATCTTGATGAATAGCTTTTGTTGCTCTTGTATTTTTTATGATTGGATTTGGAAAAAAAAAAAAGGGGGGGGGGTAAGGAATTTTGGAGTTAAGGCTTTCCCGCCCCTGGCCCTTTCCACATAAAAGCGTACTTTTTGCCACATATATGCGTACTTTTTGCCACATATAGGCGTACTTTTTGCCACATATATGCGTACTTTTTTCCACATATATGCGTACTTTTGCCACATATAGGCGTACTTTTTTCCACATATATGCGTACTTTTGCCACATATAGGCGTACTTTTTTCCACATATAGGCGTACTTTTGCCACATATAGGCGTACTTTTTGCCACATATATGCGTACTTTTGCCACATATAGGCGTACTTTTTGCCACATATATGCGTACGTTTGCCACATATAGGCGTACTTTTTTCCACATATAGGCGTACTTTTTGCCACATATTGGCGTACTTTTTTCCACATATATGCGTACTTCTGCCACATATAGGCGTAATTTTTTTTACATATATGCGTACTTTTGCCACATATAGGTGTACTTTTTTCCACATATAGACGTACTTTTTTCCACATATAGACGTACTTTTTTCTACATATAGGCGTACTTTTTGCCACATATTGGCGTAATTTTTTTACATATATGCGTACTTTTTGCCACATATAGGCGTACTTTTTGCCACATATAGGCGTACTGTTTGCCACATATAGGCGTACTTTTTGCCACATATAGGCGTACTTTTCTTCACACATCGAATATAAGTTTTTGTTGTTTTGCATTTTTGCACCATGATTTTCATCTTATTTTAAGTTTGAAGCTAATGTTTGTATTGTTTGTTTGGATCCAAAATCTTTGTAAACATGGCACACACAAAAAAGGACAGCGCGTTTAAACGGAAGACAAAGGATCACATGACATACATTGATGACATGACTGAAATGGATGAAATGACAATGGATGGCATGGAACAAGGGATGACTTGACGGAAATGGGTGAACATTGACCACGCTTGCTCGTGTAGATAGAGATACTGATCTTCCACCCAGCGCCTCCCTGGGTGGCGGACAGGGGGTAAGTCGGGAGTAGACGGATCCACATTGGCCAGGGTCCTGAACCCAAAAAATAGAAGCAGCTGATGAACCACCCCCCCCCTTCCCACTACCCCTTCACCATCCCCCCCCCTTCCACCGCACAGCCTGTTGTGCGCTGGGCTGATGGCCCCGTCTCGCGTATGAAACCCAATGTTACAAACGCTCTACACGGGCTGCAGTGCCACTGATGATGATGATGTTACTATGCCTGGTGTTCTTTGGTGATTCTTGTCTGTCACGTGAGAGACATGGTTCTATTACCAACAGGGAGTAACTGTTTAGACAGCACGGTACAGTTTGATTTTAATTCCCTTATCCTTTTAATAAACAACAAAGAAGAACAATATGTGCCACAAAAAAGACAAAGGAATGAATTTGATGTTGTTTCGTTTTTGTTTTTTCTACAAGTTCTTTATACGCCTCGTGAAGGAATACATTCTGAACTGTCTCAATGATAATAAACTACTTTTACTTAAATACTTTTAATTGACTAATTTATTTCATTACTTTTACTTCAATACTTTTTACTTCAATACTTATGCCTAATTAATTTTACTTCTCTACTTTTACTTGACTTTTTTTTACTTCACAACTTATAGTTCACTACTTTTACTTCAGTACTTAAACCTCACTTCTCTACTTTTGCTTGACTATGCTTTAAACTCCTTTTACTTTTAATCCAATCATAAACATTGGAGTATGACTAGCATAAACTGGGGGATGTGGGGGTGGGGGTCTTCCATCGATAATAGAACCCTCTCAATCCCAAGAACCAAAACTAAGACCATCGGTGAACGATCCTTCTACTTCTATGGGCCCACGTTCTGGAACCAGCTCCCCTTCCATATCCGTCATTGTGAAACCTCGTCCACTTTTAAAAAGTCCCTTAAAACCCATCTGTTTTGGTCCGCCTATGACCTGTGATGCACCCTCCTTGCCCTGCCTCATTTTCTGTCTCGGGTTAATCCTGTAGTATAGGCCAAAACTTGTCAAAGTGTCCTCGTTTTATAGCCATTTTAATTGTTTCTATTGTATAGTAGCTACTATCCTAATGTCTCATTTTTATTTTAGTTAGTTTACATGTTTTTAATAATTGTAAAGCGCTTAGAGCTTTAAGGTAAGCGCTATATAAAAAATGCCTAAATAAGTAAATAAATGATGTCAAGATTGTAATACTGATCTAAACCATAGGGTCAAGTGATGTATGGTATTCAAGTATGTTACCATTGGTTAAACGATAGGGTCAAGTGATGTATGGTATTCAAGTATGTTACCATTGGCTAAATCATAGGGTCAAGTGATGTATGGTATTCAAGTATGTTACCATTGGTTAAACCATAGGGTCAAGTGATGTATGGTATTCAAGTATGTTACCATTGGCTAAATCATAGGGTCAAGTGATGTATGGTATTCAAGTATGTTACCATTGGCTAAATCATAGGGTCAAGTGATGTATGGTATTCAAGTATGTTACCATTGGTTAAACCATAGGGTCAAGTGATGTATGGTATTCAAGTATGTTACCATTGGTTAAACCATAGGGTCAAGTGATGTATGGTATTCAAGTATGTTACCATTGGTTAAACCATAGGGTCAAGTGATGTATGGTATTCAAGTATGTTACCATTGGTTAAATCATAGGGTCAAGTGATGTATGGTATTCAAGTATGTTATCATTGGTTAAACCATAGGGTCAAGTGATGTATGGTATTCAAGTATGTTACCATTGGTTAAACCATAGGGTCAAGTGATGTATGGTATTCAAGTATGTTACCATTGGTTAAACCATAGCGTCAAGTGATGTATGGTATTCAAGTATGTTACCATTGGTTAAATCATAGGGTCAAGTGATGTATGGTATTCAAGTATGTTACCATTGGTTAAATGGATCGCCTTATCTCCCCAAAAGTAATCCTGTTGATAACTTTTTTTTTGTCTGTGTCACGTGACATGATAACGCGTCAAGTAACATTTTTTTTCTTATTTATATTCGTAACTTTAAAAAAAAATCTATTTCTTTGTGTGTGTGTGTGTGTCAATGTGTGTTTGTGTGTCAATGTGTGTTTGCGTGCGTGTCAAGGTGTGTGAGTGTCAATGTGTGTTGTGTGTGTGTCAATGTGTGTTTGTGTGTGTGTCAATGTGTGTGTGTTTGTGTGTGTGTGTGTCAATGTGTGTGTGTGTCAATGTGTGTTTTTGTGTCAATGTATGTGTGTGTCAATGTGTTTGCGTGTCAATGTGTGTATGTTTGTGAGTGTGTTGTGTTTTTTGGTTTTCCAATCTATGTGTGTGTTGCTTCATTAAATAAGTGTGTCTTCAAGTAGTTCAGTACCGGGCTTTACAAACATAAAAAAAAACAACTTATCTTGTCTTCAATAATTCATTATTTATGTGATAGTATTAGCATGCACGAATTATATCAGTTATTGTTGTCTGTGAGTTCTGAAATGATCTACAGTCAATTCATCGCTATCTGTGACCTCTGGAATGGTATACAGTCAATTCGTCGCCATCTGTGACCTCTGGAACAGTCTACTGTCAATAAATTGCTATCTGTCATTTCTGGAACGGTCCACATCACTTTATATGTTTCTGAAATGATCTTCTGTAAATGCGTCGCTACCTGTGTAGTGATGTCCAAGTCCTCGTATTTGTCTTGTCATTTACCTATAAATCATTTACTTGGTCCATCTGCAAAGTCTAAGTTTTCTATTTCAGCGTTTGGTTTTTATGAAATCTAAGCAATCCGCCGAGATTAACCCAACCATATTATAAACTTCTTTATCTTTTAGTCAATATTCGTAAAATTGAACTTAAGAAGCTAAAAGCCACACGTAGTGGTGGTGATTCGAAAAACTGACGCTGTAGCCAGTACCTTGCGAAAAGTGGGGGGGGGGGTGTGTGCGAAAAAGCCACCCACCTCGGGCGCCTTCTTCCGACTGTTAAAGTTACATTTTTGTTGAATAGCGCAAGATTTATAAAAAAAAAAAATATGTTACAGATTCTGGAATGGGTGTGTGTCTTGCAATATTCTCCAGTGGTGTCCATATGTGAAATGGCGCAGGCCTGGTGATTTGAATATAATTAACGGACGCTGCGACACGCTGGTTTGAGAGTCCTTGAAATGCTGCTGACTTGGAGAATTTGAACCGTTGTGCAGTAAATAAGACCAGGCGATGCTGTGCGCAGTGCAGAAGACAGGGACGAATGAGAGGAGGATCGTTCACATGTCCTCTGTGGCGCGCCAGCGGTCCCCAAAGACTAAGGCACATGATACGATGGTGATCATAATGCAATACACGTCTGCTGTGTTCAATCTCGTGTACTCAGTGAGCTCAGGAGCTAGGCCACGACCCGGCTAGCTTAAGCCATAGACTATTATTGTGTTGTTGTTTTGTTTTGATTTTTTTTTTTGTTTTTTTTTTTGTTAAATGAAATGAAATGGAGTTTCTCGGTGTCAAGAACTATTAGTTTTGGAAAAAATGCAAGATAAATACTTGATCAATAATTTGAAAATTAATGAGAACTTTCCTTTCCCAGTTAACATCTCTAAAGTTGTATATATATTTTCTATTAATTTATTGTGTCTTTACCTCAAATCGTTACAATTTAAACTCTTTTTATTTTTCAATTTTTACAATATACGGATCTCCGAGCTCGGAGAAATAACTCTTCTTATACTCGGCAATTATATGTATGTGTACAGTGCAATAATGTTGAATTTAATTAGAATTTTTGTTCAGCAGTTGATACCTGAACAAAAAATGTGTACGTTTAACTTTATACCAGAAGTTGATGTACACAGAGAACACTGTTACAAATCATTTATTTGGCATTATCGACAGTCGAGTTCGATTTCTCATCAAATGAGCTTTGCTAAAATAAAAATAACATGCCACCCATATTAAAAAGGTGAGAAGATTCCCTCATTTATTTTTTTTTAAAGTGTCTAACTTTTTTTGTTGGTGACTTAATCGTCGACGACGCCTTTCCATGGGGGCGGGGGGGGGGTCGTCCCCCACGGCAAACGTCCACCTGGTTCATTGGGGCACAGTGTACAAGTCTTTGGATGGCTTCACGTAGTCGTTGCACAGCGGGGACGTGCAGCAGAAGTGGCACTCCATGGCGTCGGAGGTGACGAACGTCTCTTCCGCGCATCTCGCGTTGGCCAGCTTGCTACCCTCCAGACACTCGGCGTTGCTGGCACAGCTGCAATGACAACGAGGGAAAATTGTAGGATTCGAGACGTTAGCGTGGATTATGGAATCGTTGTTGGGAGAAGAACCCCCCCCCCTGTCCACCACCCCCCACCTCTTTCCGAAAAAAATAAAAAAATAAATTAAAAAAACAGGTCTCCTGCAGGTTAACATGTTAGAAAAGGGGACACAACCATTTTTACTTGAACAGTTGAAAAGATTACAAGTTATTTGCGTCCCTTGCCCCATCAATATGTTGCCGGTTTCCTTGACAGAAAGCCTACCTAAAAAAAAAAGCAACATATTAATCTGAAAAATGTTACCAATTGATTTGTATTGGCTGGGTGTGCGCCAGTTAAATTGTTGATAACATCTCCACGTGAAACACACCAACTTAGTAGCTGGGGGATACAGCAGAGCAACACATGGTGAACACATTAAGTTGCCCCCTGTATTCGAAATATCGAGCAGCGACCGTGTGTCGGTAACATCTGAGAAGCACTCACCGCTTGTAAATCCTCCGGAAGGTCCCGTTCTGGTAGACGTCCGTCATGCAGTAGGGCTGGTTCTCTCCGCAGTGCTCCACGTGCTTGGACGTCTCCGCGTTGCAGTGCTTCTGTGTGAAGTTGTTGCCACACACGTAACACGCGAAGCCTGTGATGAGTCCGGGGTTGTCTTTGCCAGTGTGGAGAGGGGGGGGGGAGAGATGGAGAGACAGTTTTAGAGGTCATTTTGATGTCCAGTGCAATAAAAGTGAATGAGCGAAACAAAGTATCGGAAAAGCCTGAGAGAAAATGAACGCAACAAAACAACGAACGTGTCGGCAGGGAGACTGCGTCAGCGGACAAACAACTGACAATTCTTTGGCCGCCCTCTCGGATACTGCTTTTCAGCTAAATGATATTTTTATGTCATTCTGTAGTTCCTGTTGTTGAGCCGTTCATTTTATGCAGTTATTTCCGTGACTTTGTAAAGAAAGGGCCAAAGAAACGCTGCAACGCTAGTGGATTAAGATGTGGCGGGTTTGTAAGTTAGGAAAGAGCTTTGCGGCATCTGGTTATAATAATACACCATAATGTACCACAAGTCTTGGACAAGTTATCCTCACATCAATGGGACGTTATCGCTTTCATAAAAAAACAAATCATGGCGTGTGGCTTATGGCGTATGGCGTATGGCTTATGGCGTATGGCTATTTAAGTTAAAGGGAACAATACGTATACTTTTTTTTATCACGTGCGGCAAAATGTATTTAGCGTCAAGGAATGTCACTGGATTAATGGAATATCAAAATAATATCAAGGGAATATCTAGAGAAGATATAGGAAATGTCTAGGGATATAAAGGGAACATCTAGGACATTTCAAGGGAATATCAAGGGAATATCAAGGGAATATCAATTAAATATCAAGGGAATATCAAGGGAATAGCAAGGGAATATCAAGGGAATATCAAGGGAATAGCAAAGGAATATCAAGGGAATATCAAGGGAATAGCAAGGGAATAGCAAGGGAATAGCAAGGGAATAGCAAGGGAATAGCAAGGGAATATCAAGGGAATATCAAGGGAATAGCAAGGGAATATCAAGGGAATAGCAAGGGAATAGCAAGGGAATAGCAAGGGAATAGCAAGGGAATAGCAAGGGAATATCCAGGGATAGGCCTATCACCTGGTAATCCGCCATCAAGGATCAATTCGCTTAACTTCAGCTCATTGACGACCTGGTCAGTGAGATTCAGCAGGGATAGAATCTGAAGAAGATGGAAAAAATTAGATCATATTCAGTATATCTTTTTTGCAATTTTTATTAAATGGATCATATTTTTACGGCGGTGAACAAAATAGTTGACAGCGAATAATACACCATTTAACTGTATCGGGGTACACGTAAACTGATATTAAACAAACGACATTTTAAAAAAATATTATTTCACTCTTGCATTTAATGTCTTTTTAATATACAAAAATCAGAACAGAAATAAAATAATATTAATTTAAGTCCTACCAAATAGTTAAAATAACTTCTAATATTTAAAGTCGCATCTAATTTTTAAGTCATGCCTATTAAAATCACTCCTATGAGTTAAAGTCACACCAAATAATTACAGTTATGTCTAATAGTCACAACTAATAGTCAAAGTCACAACTAATAGTCAAAGTTACAACTAATAGTCAAAGTCACAACTAATAGTCAAAGTCACATCTAATAGTCAAAGTCACATCTAATAGTAAAAGTCACATCTAATAGTAAAAGTCACATCTAATAGTAAAAGTCACACCTAATAGTCAAAGTCACACCTAATAGTCAAAGTCACACCTAATAGTCAAAGTGGCATCTAATAGTCAAAGTGGCATCTAATAGTCAAAGTGGCATCTAATAGTCAAAGTCACACCCAATAGTCAAAGTCACACCCAATAGTCAAAGTCACACCCAATAGTCAAAGTCACACCTAATAGTCAAAGTCACACCTAATAGTCAAAGTCACACCTAATAGTCAAAGTCACACCTAATAATCAAAGTCACACCTAATAGTCAAAGTCACACCTAATAGTCAAAGTCACATCTGATAGTCAAAGTTACATCTAGTAGTCAAAGTCACTCCTGATAGTCAAAGTGACATCTGATAGTCAACGTCGCATCTAATAATCAAAGTCACACCTGATAGTCAAAGTCACACCTGATAGTCAAAGTCACACCTGATAGTCAAAGTCACACCTAATAGTCAAAGTCACAACTGATAGTCAAAGTCACACCTAATAGTTACCATCTTAATCCAATACTTAAGTTAGTTAAACAATCAAACAATGGTCGTTAATTGTTGTACCCACAGCGTTGACTTCTCCTTGCAGGAGCTTGACGGTGCGCTGGCTGCTGGTGATGTTGTTCATGAGCAGTGGCAGCGTCTTCAACTGCACGCTCTCCATGCTCTCTGACAGGCCTGTTTGACAAAAGAGTTATGTGCATCCTTGATAGTCTCATCTTGATACTTTGTGGTTGAATACCCGTGTTTGTCAAATAAATGACATCTGGCATTTGTATCAAGCCTCTTATTTGACCTCTCTGATTCAGATCTCCTATTCTCACTAACTTTTTTTACCACCTACGTAGCCCCAACCATATTTGGTATTCAATATATATTTATTTATTTTAAAAAAACAACAATTTTTTTGTATGTTTCCTGTTAATCACATAACCTAAATTTTCTGATTTCATGTGATGTTTCCGTTTCCGTAATCAAAATTAATGTTATTTCCTTTTCAACTCACTCTGACCGTATCAGATAAACTCTTATTTTTATTCTCTTTTATTTTATTATGATCATTATTATGTATACTTCGCAGCTGCAGGTGGAAGGAAGTGCACTAGACTTTCCATTATTACCCTGGTAACACCGGGTCATCTTCTAGTATTTAATATATGCGCATACGATGTTTAAAAACCAATGTCGCAATTGGTTTAATGTCAATGTCGCCTTATTTATTTTAACTCCCGATGAATAAAATCAGACTGAGGCTTGGCAAGGCTGTCGTCCCATTTGACCTGGGATTTCTATTTGACTGGGGGTCTTAACTTTACATTAGGGATCGTTTAATAGGGAATTGTGTCTCTGGGCATAAGAAAGGCATCGACGTTAGGGAAGCCGGCAAGCGTTGCAGAGCGTCTTGTGGATCAGTCCTCTTAAGTTGCAGACTTGCAATCATTTTACGAACACCAAATCCTTCTAGCATCAATATTTGATATTTAAGTATATTCCATATAATGGAACAACCCCAAAAATTGATATTTAAGATCGTACTATCCGTGCGTTATATCACGGGGGGGGGGGGGGGGGGATTTCCTTTGTTTTTTTTTTTTACAATCTGAGATATTTTCTAAAATAAATTAAATGAAAAACGGAGTTTTTATATATGTATTAATTGGACAACATTTCCTATGGTAATTTTAAGTAATTGATTTTTGCCTTTAGCTGATCATAATTTTATAACATAATGTTTATGATTTTTAAATTTTTTTTTAAATATTTTATTTCTATACATTCAAATTTGAATTTTTTTACACAAAGATTTCTGACGTTGTTTCCGGTTCCAACTCACCTTTCCAATTGACCTGTTCCAGCTTGGAGACCCTGGTCTCGACGCTCGTGTTCAGCTTGAACTCCAACACGTTCACCATCTCCTCGAGTTTGCCCTCGCTCCTCTTCAGATTCTCCACCTGCTCCTCCAGCACGTGAATTCTCGTGTTCTCCAGTTCCTCCATCTTCTCCCTCATCTGCTCCAGCTCTGCGTTGTGCTGGTTTTCAACCTGGGTTGAAAAAAAAACAGCTTCGTAAAAAATCAAAGAAATTTAACCAAAAACCATCATTCTCAAGACATGGAAAAATAAGAACGTCAAATAAGATGGTCTCTGGGGCCAATTTTTAACATCTTTTCTTTACACAGCTGAGAAGAAATAGGCATTGACCTCAGTTATAAGAGTGTTGGACTGCGGTAAATCTGTCAAGTAGATTAATTAAACACAAACAATGGGTGTAAAAAACAATATAGGTTCAGCTTTAATGATGATTTTACGGAATAAAAATATTCCCCAAATACTAGGCTGAGTTCAAATATTCCCAAAGATTCTTTCGTGTAATTACATACCTGCGGATGGTTTGAATGTTTCTTATTATCATTGCTGAATGTTTCACTGTTGACATAGGTACTTGCCTGCTGTTCCGGGGTGTTTCCGGTCTGTTCACCGCTTCCAGTGAGGGCGTCGACTTGGTCTTTGAGGGTTTGAAGCTTAAACGAACAAAAAGAGATAATTTCAATATTATTTCAAGTTTGAACCTTGACCCCAACTTCCATAGTTTAACTGTCGACCCTTGCTTTCTCATTTTACCTATTAACCCCTACTTCCTTGATTCGACATCATCCCCTACTTCCTTAGTTTGACATCATCCCCTACTTCCTTAGTTTGACATCATCCCCTACTTCCTTAGTTTGACTGTCGACCCTTACTTCCGTAGTTTAACCCTTGACCCCTACTTCCATAGTTTAACCCTTGACCCCTACATCCATAGTTAAACACTTGGCCCCTACTTCTTTGGTCAGCGCGGTGACCGCCTCCGTCAGCTCGCTGTTTTCCCTCTTCAGGGCCAACATGCTATCCTCCAGCATCTTCTTGTCGTCTGCCGTCTTCTGCATGGTCTCGACGATCAGCCTGATGACCGGTAGCTGACCCTCTAGTGTTTGCACGCGGAGCTGCAGGGAGTCCATGGTCAGTTCAAGTTCTGAAACAAGCGTCACAATTGAAATATATATATATTTTTTTAAAAACAGGAATTCAATGTAAATTTATTTCTGAAATATCTTGAGGTTAGTAGGATGCAATAGAACATAATGATTTCAATTGAAATATAATGTAGGTGTTGTTGCCTTAAGACCATTACTTGCTTTTTGGGTTCGTCTGTTTGTTTAATCTATAGCCTAATACTAATAGCTTTTAAATCAGCGGTTCTCAAACTTTGGGGGTCGAACGACCCTTACACGGGGAACTCCTAAGACCATCGGAAAACACATGTTTATGAAGTAACAACGAAAATAATTGCACGGTTGGGAGGGGGGGGGTTCACCACAATACGAGGTACTGCAGCTAAGGGTCGCGGCATTATGAAGGTTAGGAACCACTGTTTTAAACTATACACAATCTAACTCATAAGTATAATGTGTATTTGCTTATATCATTTTGGAATTTAAAATAGTCTTTTATTGGGAAAAAAATTCATTTTTTTTTTAAAACTAACGAAATTAATGTTTTTTTAATAAATCTCTTCCTATAGCCATCCTTTCTCGTGTTCTGTACGGGTGATCAACGTTAGTTTAATTATTGTGTAGCTAGGACAATCACGTGATCACGTTCTCTGTGGTTTTGTTTTTTTTGTTTTTTTTTTGTTTGTTGTTTTTTTTTTTTTTTTTTTTTTTTTTTTTGTTTTTTTTTTTTTTTTTTTTTTTTTTTTTTTTTTTTTTTTTTTTTTTTTTTTTTTTTTTTTTGTTTTTTTTTTTTTTTTTTTTTTTTTTTTTTTTTTTTTNNNNTTTTTTTTTTTTTTTTGTTTTTTTTGTTTTTTTTTTTGTTTGTTAATATTTAAAAGGACTTTGGCAGAAGAACTGGAAACGTTTACCTTTTCGTACCAAAAATAACTCACCTTCCCTGACCTCCGTGACCTCTGTGGTGACCTGAACCTCCCCATTGTCATCAAAGTGGGTCACCTGACACTCGTACAGACCCGCGTCCACCACGTCGGGGGCGCGAATCGTCACAGACAGGAACGCCGGCTCCACCACAGAACCTTCTGATTTGAACCTGGGGGAGGAGGAAGCGATGGGTGCACCCCCATTAAGGACTATTTGATTGGCTGAATAAAAAAAACAGTGTGTAATAATGTGTTCGATATTTTTTGAGGTCGCAACTCCACTTCGGGTCGTAAAAAAACTCTTTACCGGTTGTATCGCGGTTTTGCGAGAAAAAAAAATGTACGGCTGCTAAGCTGCAGTCGTGAATCAATATCAGATCATTTTTATTTTCGCGACCAAGTGAGCAGATATGAATTCGGATGTTGATGTCACGAGACGTGGAAGTCCTCTGGAAAAAAGTTGCCCGGAACGCAATGTCAGTGAGCAGAAAGCACTTGGTTTATTTTGTTTCGTAGACTTTGCCCGTAGTTTCTGGGGATTCCCCCTTTATCCTAGCCTTTTTACTGTCGGTGAGGTACCTTGTATTTATTTATCGGGTGCCCTTCTCAAACACAACATAAGGCTTTCGGTGAGCCCAGCCCAGGCCTATACCATGCCTGTCCCAGGCCTATCACATGCCTGTAGCACGCCTATCATGTGCCTATCCCAGGCCTATCACACGCCTATCCAAGGCCTATCCATTTCCTACCCCAGGCCTATCACTCCACACATTCATCACTTAAACCGACCTATATTGCATACGGACAGATGTTGTCCGCCTATTGAAATTGTAAAACTGAAATCCATTAGAAATAAGTATTTATCCCTTTGGTAATACGCTGTAATTTTCCTCTCATAGACTCATACGACTTAATCCTAATGTAATATTGAATTTTTTAAAAATAATATTCATGACATATACATAAGGATTAACCCTGTTCACGTAATTATTTTTTTTAAAAGTTCTTCTTTCCGAACGCCGTGTGGGTCCATCAATTTGTCAAAGAGGTTCAGTAGGTCTGATAAATATAATACTTTAAATATCATTTTAAAAAATGTTTTTAAAAAAATAACGACCATTAGTTTTTTGTTGTTTTTTTAAGTTAAGAAATAAAACTAGCACTACGAGTCTACTGAATGTGGATTCATCGGAATACCAGGAATCGTTCCGGACAATCAAAAAAAGTATCGAAACATCCTGCAAAAAAAACAAAGTTTCAAAACATGTAAGAGCTTTTGGTACAAAACTAGTTTTTAAGTAATCGCATTTTTAGAAGTACGCCATGAGATAAGAATGTCCCAAGCTACAGCCAATCGGTTACCGGAAAATTACTCGAAAGAAATTGCGTCGATGGTAAAGTGATCGACTGAAATTTGATCGAACGGAAATTTGGTCGAAACTTTTATTCAGTTCACACTTTAAAATTTTCGTATAATTTCTTTTTGAACGCACTATACTAAAAAAAATTAAGTGTTCGAAAAGAAATTTGAAGCAAAATTTTTAAGTAAAAACCGAAAAAAAAGATTCGATCAAATTTCCGAAGGATCAAATTACCGTCGATAAATTTACCGTCGATGAAATTTCTATCAAATTTCCGGATACGCAACCAATCAGTTGAGCAACTGTCAACAATTTTATCACCTGTCACTTGAAGGAACTATGGTCATTTTGTTCCCCGGTGTAATCGTTGCGCGAACAAACTGCTCTCCTGCGCCCCTCTGGGCACGCGACGCCCCAGTGTCTTGTTGCTGGACACCACCTTCGTTTGGCCCCTCGGTCGGGGCGTCACTTTTGCCGGCGCCCGCCTCCTCGCCGCCTTCAGTGCCGCCCGGCTTCCCGCCACCGCCGACGTCATCTTTCTTTTTGATGTGGATGGCCAAGATGGCGCCCAGTCCGTCCGTTTCCGGTTGGCAGCGAAGAGTGAGCTCCGTTGTTTTTGATGGTGTGATGCTTTTGGGCGTGCTGACGAAGGAGGTCACAGCTGTGGAATATATTCAGAATGAACTTTGGCTTGTGAATAAATTATCAGCATTCGGAAACATCGCATCGGGCTACGTATTTGGAGCTCATTATATGAATATCGATTTATCGATTTATTTTCTAACCTCAACAGAAATTGTGCTTAATGACGTCATATTTCAAGTAAATTTTAAACAAAATAGGTTTTATGATATCAACAAGTATATAAATGAAACTTATGTTAAAGAAAAGATATGAAAGTATTAAAAATTCAATAAAAAAAAAATGAAAACATAAAAATATAAAAGTTGAACGTTAAAAAGTTATCCGTGTTCTTCTACGTGATTTTTTTACATTTTATTTTTTAACGGATGCTTTAAATCTTCATAGAACCCTGGTCATCCCCCACCCCCACCCTTTCCCCCCCCCCCAATCCATGTTTTTCTTATCTTTGAAAAAAAAAAAACGACAAGCATTATGTTAATGAAAAAAACATCGAAAATGAAAACTTTCTAAACCGAAAGTAGGCTTTGGAAAATAAAACCGAAAAAAATATTATATCAACAAAGGACAAGCCAGAAAATCCAGGGTTAACTCTGCACCCGGGGATGTCCCATCAATCTGCTGCACTTACTGCACGAGAACATTTCGTGTCAGAATCGGCCTCACGAGCCATCTGCGCACCCACAAGCCAAGGTCACAATTAGCACAGCGATGCTTTAAGATGGCCATGGTCGATTTCGACTGACAATATATATATANTTTAAATGATTTCTTCGAAATGCATCACAAAGATAAGAGTCAAATGTTAGAAAACAAACAGACACATCCATTTGTAAGCAACTTACCAATTTGATTTTGTAGCAAAATGAGCAGACAAACGACTGCACATTTTGTGAAGGAATTCATCATGCAAAATGTTCACTATTTGAATCTACTTTAAAAAATGTTCACTATTTGAATCCACTTTAAAAAATGTTCACTATTTGAATCCACTTTAAAAAATGTTCACTATTTGAATCCACTTTAAAAAATATTCACTATTTGAATTCACTTTAAAAATGTTCACTATTTGAATCCACTTTAAAAAATGTTCACTATTTGAATTCACTTTAAAAATGTTCACTATTTGAATCCACTTTAAAAAATTTTCACTATTTGAATTCACTTTAAAAATGTTCACTATTTGAATCCACTTTAAAAAATGTTCACTATTTGAATTCACTTTAAAAATGTTCACTATTTGAATCCACTTTAAGAAATGTTTGGTTCGCTGCCGTTGCCAAGAGTGTTGTTTTGATTGGCTAAATTATTTCAAATGTCAGTATTAAAAAAAAATTGACGTTGTTAGTGAACATCCATACGCAGGCGTTCTGTCTGATCTGCCTGGTACTTACTTTTGTTCCAGCGACTTTATTAATTATTTTTAAAAATTAATTTTTAAAGGCGTATCATTAATCTTTTATATATTAGAAATGGATCACACATTTTGAGTCAGATGTCACAACATGATGCGGTCACTTCTCTTATCGAGGTGTGTGACGTACTTCCTGTTGACGAAAACCACAGTCATGTAAATAAGAATTATCGACGTGTACCAAAGCCCAGTTAAAATTCAATTTGCGTATTTATCTCAAATTTTCATCTTCATCCTATCACCTCTTTGGGTCTATCCACGCATCAAGGATTGTTAAATTAAGGACTGCGTTGAAGCTGTGTGAAGGAAGGAAACAATCCACGCATTAAGCAATGGCGCTTATAATAGTTATGAGGAGATGCGTGGTGCGTCTAAAACTTCACATTACGTCACAATACACATTTTTTTACTCATTTAAAATATATATTGTGTTATATGATTAATTAATTTATCCATGTCCACACGATTCCTACGTTAAGTTCAAACAATGAGAAGATATGTTGTTTTTTTTAATGCTCAATATTCTATAGAAAAATTAAAGGGCTCTCGGAAAGAAAACTCTTTTTTAAATTATATTATGCCAGGTTTGCTTGTAAGCATCAGAGTCTTTGGAAATGTCAAACTGTTCGGAAATCTCAAACTGTTTGGAAACATCAAAATATTTGGCAACATCAAACTGTTTGGAAATGTCAAACTGTTTGTAAACATCAAAATATTTGGCAAATCAAACTGTTTGGAAATGTCAAACTGTTTGGAAATGTCAAACTGTTTGTAAACATCAAAATATTTGGCAACATCAAACTGTGTCGAAATGTCAAACTGTTTGGAAACATCAAAATATTTGGCAAAATCAAACTGTGTCGAATTGTCAAACTGTTTGTAAACATCAAAATATTTGGCAACATCAAACTGTGTCGAAATGTCAAACTGTTTGGAAACATCAAAATATTTGGCAACATCAAACTGTTTGGACATGTCAAACTGTTTGTAAACATCAAAATATTTGGCAACATCAAACTGTTTGGAAATGTCAAACTGTTTGTAAACATCAAAATATTTGGCAACATCAAACTGTTTCGAAATGTCAAACTGTTTGGAAATGTCAAACTGTTTGTAAATGTCAAACTGTTTGTAAACATCAAAATATTTGGCAACATCAAACTGTGTCGAAATGTCAAACTGTTTGGAAACATCAAAATATTTGGCAACATCAAACTGTGTCGAAATGTCAAACTGTTTGGAAACATCAAAATATTTGCAACATCAAACTGTTTGGAAACGTCAAACTGTTTGGAAATGTCAAACGTTTGGAAATGTCAAACTGTTTGTAAACATCAAAATGTTTGGCAACATCAAACTGTTTGGAAATGTCAAACTGTTTTGGAAATGTCAATCTCATCATTTGGTTGCAATTCAAATTTACTGGATCTTAAAGAAATTATGGATTTCCTTCATCCACGTCTTCTTGGGGATCCAACCCTGGGCCAAATGAAGCAGTACCATGGCTCAAACTTTCATTATTGGCATCAGTCACAAAGAGACAATGTTTCAGTGCTTTATGTGTGTACCAGTATCGCGCCGTCAAACAGTGTCTCTGGGAGTATAAACATCATTGATCTCTAAAATTATTAACAAATCACGTTTTGACAAATTTCATAACGAAACTGTACCTTCGCGAGTTACGAAGTCGTCGACTATTCAGCGAGCGATACCATGACCTGTGTTACGTACCATTATAATACGAAGTGGTCGACTAGTCAACCGTCGATACTATTGAACAGGTTCTACGTACCGTTATTATATGAAGTAGTCGACTACTTATCTTTCGCTACCATGACCTGTGTTACGTATTGTTATTTTACGATGCAGTCGACTATTTAACAGTCGATACCATGACCTGACTTGAGAGCGCTTTTGTTCACCTCGGTGTATGTGTTACGGCCAAAATCCGAAATCGCCCCGTTTGGGAATCGGCGAATCCTGGAAACAAAACAAAAATCCAATGTCGGTGAAAATTTAGTGGCCAAATTCCAATATTTTCCCCAACTATGCGATTTTTGACGTTCAGTTTAGGAAATGATATGAGGCTATCTAGCACTTAAACTATCAAATTTTATCACTGCCGCACCCACTCAACGACATTTATTATTTATTTCATTCGAGATTTCAAATAGTTATTACATAACTGCATTAATCCAACAGACTAAAAAAAATGTATATTCCTGAAGTGAAACGAGAAACGCAATCTCCGAATTGTATTTCCGAATATTATTCCGGAGGGTTTGCTCTTAGATTGAAAGACGCTGTTCGGCTACTACATGATTGAATAACGATTGTTTTATTAATAAATCAGTCAATAATGGCAACGAACGTGAACAATCCAACCAGGAACATGTTTGAATATGTGATCTATGAACAAATGTTCACATTCCATGTTTAAAATAAACTAGCACGCACACACGGCAACTCCTACACAGCAAGTGACCCGAGTCTTAGCTTTCCCCCCCCCCTCTTAGACGCTGTCAACAGATTTCAGACCAAACCATGTCCAATTGGTTTTAACCGGGGTTTAATCCTAAACTCGAACTAGTCACGTGTGTTGTAGCCGAATGGGAAATATGTTTCGCTTGATAATCCCTTTCACAAACTCATGCGTATAAAAAAAAATATTCAAGTGAAAAGGGGGAGGAGAGGGGGAGAAAAAAAAAGGAAGTTTTAATGTACTTCTTTATTGATTTGTATTGATATCTTCATCCTTAAGTATGGGCGCAGATGGCCTCACAGCGCTGATGCTCTATGACGCACTAAATTCTTTGCTTTAAATCCCCCCCCCCTTTTTTTTTTCCACCCGCCAGGTCATGTTATCGTTCAAGTAGAAAATTCATGCGACTTAAGGCTTTACATTTTAAATTGAACCGTAATTTATTCATTTACGACTCTGTAGATGTTAATTTTGAAAAGTTTTTTTTTTTAAATTTATTTTACAGAACAATTGTATGAATAGTAAACATGAAATAGTTTAATCCAATCCCATTTGGGAAATACATAATTATCCTTTAAATAATCAACAGACAAGAAGTTAAACCTGGAGAGTTATTTCAAATACAGCCGCTCGCCCACGTGTGTATTAAATGTAATCTGGACACGGAGTAATATAACGCATTGGCCGTGCGTAACTAAAAAAAAAAAAAAAAAAATTTTTCTCTTATCTCGATTCGCACATTACAGATTCGATCCGCTGAGCAGTGTTGTCCGTCCTGGAAAAGGGGGAGGGGGGGAGGGGGGGGACAGACAATACGCGGCAATAAACTAGAAAACAAAAAAGGTAAATGCTGGAGTCTCTTCTCCTCTCCCCCTCTCAAGGTCATTCACTAAGGCCTGCGCCAATGAATTGATATCCTGAACTTTTTTTTCTCAAAAATTGGCTTCAAAGTTCTTCTCACATTTCCCCCTTCCAAGGACATCTGCGAAACTGGCTTGTCGTCCTCGGGCATTGTTAAGATATTGTAAGTCCATGAACAGAATGGGCCTTCGTACTCCTTTGTGTTTAGCACGGTCTAAAATTTTAGCCAAGAGTTGATTTGCGTGCATCTTGATGAGTGGTCAATTCTTTTGCATCAAATAGTCCCTGTTAGCTGACATTATTTTTTTGTTTCGCCATTTTTTTTTTGTACTCCGTGGTAAGACTTAATTTATAAATACATTTCATTTTAAACTTGTTTGGAAAGGTGTTTGTTGTTTTAAATAAATTTTGAATCCCCATTGGCATAAACTGAAACGTGCAACGGCTGCCATTCAATTAGTATTAGTTTAAAAGAGTCACATCGAATCGGCTGATCACGGATTTAAAACAAAAAAATAATAATAATAATATTAATAGGCCTATACTCGAAGTCCCTCCAAAATAAATCTTAATAAATCTGGCACATGTCCATGGTGAAAATTTAAAAAAAAAGGGGGGGGGGGGGGATCCCCTTTTTAGTTTGGGAAACACTGCACTAAAAAATTTAGGGTTAACCCATGGGAGGTGGGGGAGGGGAAAAATGGGTGGGGGGCGTTCTTCTGGTAACGATTTGGCTTGATAGTTTTTAAAAAAAACAACAAAAAAACAACAAACAAAAACTTGTTTGCCATCTGCCTCGCTACAAGATAATAATAGCCAAGTTCACCTCTCAACAGCATCGACCACACAGAAATGGATGTGACTATAATGTATTCTCAATGCGCGCCAAATCGCGCGCCTGGTATTGGTGGAAATGTGTTTTCTAATTTTATGTGGCGGAGGCATCGCTGTTGCTGCCGGGAAAAATAGTTGAAAAGCAAGAAATAAACGTAATTCGACTTAACTGCTCAAACGTGGTGTACGGTAATTGAAGTAAAAACTATTTTAAAAAAACAAAACAATATCACTGCGGAAAATGAATAGCTTATGAGGAAGATGTTAATTCCGGAATTTCGGATCAGGTTATCTCAAGTTATGACCATGGGTCATTTGCATCCCTGGGGGATGAGGTTAAGGGGGGGGGGGGGCAAGCCTGTTTTTTTTGGGCCATAGGAACTTTG